GCACAATTCACAATAGCTAGACTGTGGAACCAACCTAGATGCCCTTCAATGGATGAATGGATAAAAAAAATGTGGCATTTATACACAATGGAGTATTACTCTGCATTAAAAAATGACAAAATCATAGAATTTACAGGGAAATGGATGGCATTAGAGCAGATTATGCTAAGTGAAGCTAGCCAATCCCTAAAAAACAAATGCCAAATGTCTTCTTTGATATAAGGAGAGTAACTAAGAACAGAGTAGGGTCGAAGAGCATGAGAAGAAGATTAACATTAAACAGGGATGAGAGGTGGGAGGGAAAGGGAGAGAGAAGGGAAAAAGCATGGAAACGGAAGGAGACCCTCAGAGTTATACAAAAGTACATACAAGAGGAAGTGAGGGGAAGGGGAAAAATAATACAAGGGGGACAAACGAATGTCAGTAGAGGGGGCAGAGAGAGAAGAGGGGAGGGGAGGGGAGGGGAGGGGTGATAGTAGAGGATAGGAAAGGCAGCAGAATACAACAGACACTAGTATGGCAATATGTAAATCAATGGATGTGTAACTGATGTGATTCTGCAATCTGTATATGGGGTAAAAATGGGAGCTCATAACCCACTTGAATCAAATTGTGAAATATGATATATCAAGAACTATGTAATGTTTTGAACAGCCAACAATAAAAAATTAAAAAGAAAAAAAAAATAAAAAAAATAAAATAAAATACAGAGTACTTAGATAATATGAATTTTACAACACTAGCTAATTCACACCAGTTTACCTACACTGTTCTTGCTCTTGCTCCTAACTGCTACTTCAGGACCCTAACTCTTTTCAAAAGCCAATACACTATATGTCTGTAGGAACTTCAGGGAATAGCTTGTACATTCTCCATATAATTTTTTTCAGCTTCCACGTAGCAGCTTCAGGTGATTCTTCTGGTTTCCTGTTTTGACCCGTCCCCTAGGGACAACTGTGTGTGGGGAGAGGGAAAGAATTTCTCATGGGGCACAACTATGAAGCCTTCTAAATGAAAAGGCTGTTTTTTGGGGGGGAAGTATGGAAATATATCTGTCGTCTTCTCTTTCTCTCTCTCTTTATTCTGTGCTGGGGATGAAGCCCAGGCCTTATACCAATGAGGTAAATAATCTACCAGTGATCTACAGTTTAGCCCCTCTCCTTTTTTTAATGTACTTGATTAAATTGGTACCAAAGTAGTGTTCTTTATACAGTTCTCTTTTCCACAGCACTCAGAAGTTTGACCATTTTGGGAGTCAGTAGGCTGGGTCTGGAGACACATTTAGAAAACAAATATGTTGCACTCAGAATCACCTCAACTCTTTGCAAATTGGAGGCCTTCTTGGTGCACTCTGCTTGCCACTGGCTTCCCTTCCTTTAGATTTTTCTCCCAGGAGGCCCCTTAGTTCACCACACAAATACACTTCAGACTGATTCCTAGGATTGTACACATCAGTCTCATGCTGGGCCTTACACTACTACATTTTTTCCATTTTCTTCTCTTGATATACTTTTGATGAGTAGGTGAAAGAGAGTGGAGGCAAATGAATACTGCTATATCTCTCTTTCCTCTGTATCTTCTTATCTTTATCCTCTTCTATTCAATTATTTATAGGCATGAAATATTGTCGAGTTTTATACTACATTTTTGTCTTCAAAGTAATGTAAAAAAATGAGGTATCATTAAGCATTGGCTATGATGATCACTTGCAACATGGAACAATATAGAAGCTGACTCATTGAAGCACTATGTTCTGTAATAGTAATCTGAATCTGTGATAAATTTATAAATTTGATAGTGAATTTGATTCTAATTGTCATTTTCAAATAGAATCTACTAAGCACTGGACGTTCTAAAAGTCTATGCCTTTCAAATAAACTATTATCCAGAGTCAGAATATACCCAGGCCCAATGAAAGTGTTAAATATTTCATATAGCTGAACAGAGAAGAAAAGATATGTCACCTCCTACTGCAGAGCCTGCATTCGGAAGATGATTTAACAGGTTATCTATAGCAATAAGTGAAATAAAATAACAACAACAAAAAATCACATTCTGTGCTAAAATTCTATTTTAGGCTAAATTCATTCTGTATTGCTTATTTGCACAGTTAAACCTACAATTGAGAAGGAAAGTTTTCAAAATAGAGAATTGAATTATTTCATAATTATAATAATGTTCTTAATCTTTCTAATTTAGTTTCACTAGAGTAAAAATTATTCAAGTTACCAGTCTTTGTTTTTTAATAATAACATACTGTACAAAATCCCACTAACAGTAATATTTTTAAAAATTGAATAATTTTCATGCATCAAATATTCTAGTAAATGAAAATAATATTTTGGCAATTATTTACATTTTCATTCTATTTGACAAAAATCATACTAATGAAACAAATAATGTATGTTCTTGATTTCATTTTAACACATGTATATTGTCGTTCTATCCATATCTGTATCTCTTTTAAATCAAAAATCACAATATTTTAAAATTTGAGTATCATTAGTTAGATAATGGGTACCATTACAGGCTCAGAGATTAATGGAAAGCCAGTTGAGTTGAAGAAGGGAAAAATAAATGGGGAGAAGAAAAAGCACACTTGCAGGGGTGTATGATATTTGTTATTTTCTTCCTGTTATTAGATTTAGATTTAGTTTTTCCTTTTCTAGTTATGTAATATGTAAGTTAATTTGTTGATTTAAGATTTTTCTTCCTTAATTTAAGTATTTACTAGTGTAATATTTTCCTCTTATTATGATTTTTACTGTATTTCATAAGGCTTGGCATGTTGTTCTTTTTTTCCATTCATCTCAAAGGATTTTCTCATTTCTATTGTACTGATTTTTTGGCCCCATTGGTTGTTTAAGAATGTGTTGATAAATTCCTGCATAATTAGAAAATTTTGACTTTCTTTTGTTATTTCTTTTTATGTTCTTCCCATTTTGATCACAAAAGATACTTTTGTTTAATTTTAGTCTTTTTAAAATTTGTTAGTACTTGCTTTGAGGCCTGACATATGATTTTTCCTGAGGAATGTTCTTATGTGTGCTTGAGAAGAATATACATTCTACTGTTATTGGTTGAAGTGTTTCGTATATGTCTGTTTGTTCTAATTGGTTTGTAGTGTAGTGTAATGTAATTTCTCTCTCCTTATTACTTTGTTTTCTAGTTAGTCTATCCACTATTGAAAGTAGGGTATTTAATTCTCTTTGTATTATTTTAGAATGCTATAATTCTTCCATCCAGTCTGTCAATTTTTATTTCAATTTTGGAGCTCTAGTCTTAGGTGGGCATGGGCTTATAATCATCATACTTTCTTGATGGAGTAAACTTTTTATCCATATGTAATGTCCTTCTTTGCCTCTCATTATATTTTCTTTTTTTTTAAAGTCTATCTTGTGTCAAAAATGTAGGAACCTCAGTTCTTTTGGTTGTAATTTACATGAATATCTTTTTTTCTATTCTTTTTTTTGGCCTTTTTGTATCTTTTTATGTAAAATGACTCCCTTTTATACCCGTAAATAGATCATATTTAATCTATTCTACCAAATACTTGTTTTACTTGGAGAGCTTCTTCTTTTTCATATGTCCATGAAAATTCCATACAAGCCCCACAAATATTCACTGTAAGACAATGTAATGATTACAACTGTACCATAGGGTTGAGGATGTGGATTAGTGGCAGAACACTTGCCTAGCATGAATGAGACCTGGGTTCAATCTCTAGCACTGCAAGCAACAAACAACAACAACAAAACACAGTACTATATTTAAATATAGCCTGAGTGGAGATGACTTTATTAATGTTGATTCTTTCTGGCATTATTAAGCATAGTTCAGGTTTTTATAACATAGTATTATAGGGCTAGGGATATAGCTCAGTTCATAGAGTGCTTGCCTTGCATGTACAAGGCCCTGGGTTCAATCCCCAACACCCCAAAAACAAACAAACAAACAAACAAAACAAACATAGTATTATAGACTTATAAACAACAAAATTTATTTCTCATTATTTTGGAAGCTTAGAAATCCAAGTTCAGGGTGCCATCATTGTTGGGTTCTGGAGAGGGCCATCTTCTGGATTGAAGACTCCTTAGTTGTCATTGTATCCTAAATGGTGGAAAGAGAACAAGCTAGCTTTCCGTTCCCTTCCTATTCTTTCTTTTTATTTTCCTTTCCTTTCCTTATTTATTTATTTGTTATGGAGATAAAACCCAGAGGCACTTAACCACTGAGCCCCATCCACAGACCTTTTATATATTTTATTTAGAAACAGAGTCTCTCTAAGTTGCTTAGTGCATCACTAATCCTCTTGCCTCAGTCTCTCAAGCTGCTGGGATTGCAGGCATGGGCCAGTGCACCTTGAGGAATAGATTTCAACATATGAATTTTGGAGGGACACATCCTCTCATTCTATAACTGGCCTCACACTTGGGTATGCCTCATATTTCATTACTTTTGCTGGATTCTCCATTATAATAAGAATCCCTAACGTACTTAAACATAGACATTGTAAACAATAGGCAATTTTTGAACAGGCCAAGTGTGCTTTATAAGATGGAAGGTGGTTCCAAATTTTGAGAAATGAATAGTAGAGTTGATATTTTGTTTTTTAGTATTACTATACACAAGCTAATACTACATAATGTTTGCAATTTCCAGTTTAGATCATCATGACAGGAAATCAGAGTTTAAAAAGTATGATCTGTATTTAAGGCCCAGAAGCTTAGTCATTTTTTGAAAGCCATTTATTCTTACATACACTTTTTATTTGACATTTATGTACTATAATGCATAGAAATCAATCAAATTTGTACATTGTATATACTTAATTTAGTTTATTTTTAAGTTACATTCTGTAGGAGATAGGAAGGGAAGGTGTATCCATGCAATAACAGCTGCAACCAGAAATTTACTAGTTTATCACTTTTAGAATTGTTTCTGCATGCTTAAAGATCCTAATCATAAAACACTAATTTTTTGCTTCCATTTCTTTTTAGAACCTTGTAAAACATCTTCCTGAGCAGAAGGTACTCAGTGAATTAGCACAGCTTAAGAATGAATATGATGACCTCTGTGAGCCTGAGCAATTTGGAGTTGTGGTATGTATTGAGTAGAAAGGCCTCAAAACTCAACTGGGAGGTAACACTTGTCAGAAACAGTGAAAAGAGAGATATTTCAGATGTTGATTTTTTTTCTGACTTTGTAACTACATAATTACATATAATATTGACTGTCAGGAAAAAATCCTTATTTACCTCTAATATTTTTCATGGTATTAAAAAATAACCAAGTTAATTTTTATATTCACAAAATACCTTACGATATCTCACGAGATCCTCTCTATTAAATTAAATTGAAATTAAGTTGTATTACTATATGTAAAATACAAAATGCAATATTGTATTGGCTATTTTTTCTTCCATTCAGATCTCCATGTTAGAATTTGCCTCCCCCAAACCTAGTCTTCAATGCAAGGATAATAACTGGATAACTAGCTAAATACTAGAGACTTTTCCATGGTATATATTATGTCAGAAAAAGCATGGGTATTTTCAGATTTTCTAGAGTGTCATTAATTGATTGAAAGCTCTAAATATGCTGTTTCAGGTGAGACCAATATCTTACAAATATACCTCATATGGTTGATACTATTGGAATTAATCAATTTTCTTTATTCCCCCTTCTCTTATGTGCTTCCAAAGATGACTAGGTATAAGATATGTACTATAGAATGTAGTTAATATATTTTAAGTATTCCCCAGTTCTGCTATTCAAATAGTTGGCAATTTATTTTTTCAAAAAAGGTAGGGAAGAGGACATCATGATTTACTTCATTTATTGGAGTTCAAAAGGTATATTTTACTTAGATATTCAATACAAATTTGTTTGTCATGTGAATGAAACAGTTCCATTATGAATGCTAGGTTTTCTCAGACTCCCTGAACATTTTCTGTCTGCATAGTAAACATTTTTAAATCGCCATTTGGCCTGATAGTCAAATACTGTTGCTTCATCCAAAATATTTTATAAGGTTTTTTAATAGTTGTATATTTGAAACTTTGCAATTTCAATATCTTGTTTAAAATCAATATATGAAAGATGAGGCTCTGCATATTCCATTTGAACATGTGGAATAACTGCCTGCCAATATTTAAGTAATTTAATTCTAATACATGTCATTCCCTACTGATTTAAATGTTTTTTTTTTTTTTTTTTTTTTTTTTTTGTCAAATCCCTTAAAAGAAAATCAGACATAGGCATTTGAGATCAACAAGAGCATAAAAAGTTACCTGAAGAATATATTTCACTAACTTTTGAGTTAGGAAAATTAGTCAATTGAATCAGCTAAATATTATTTATTAAATTGCATCATTTTAGCACAATGTTAAGTAATAAAATTTTCTAAACCAAAGGCCACACTTGAAACCTGAGCTTCTCAGATTCATATTGTAATTGAAGCAGGGCTATACACCATGTGAGATTTCCACTGTGTCATCATGGTTATGAGTTTTACAGTAGGTACACTACGCAATTTCTCTGAAGCCATTTTTTTCTTTGAATGCAGTTTATCTTAGAAGATGTATTAGTTTGCCAAGCAAGTCCTTCAAGAGGAATATCCTTGGTACCACTCAGGAAATGAAGTTTGGGACATAAAAAGCAATATACCTTCTGAACTAAAGGCAAAATAGAAAATGGAAGAGATTTCTTGTTTATGCACATAACCATAAATAATTCTCAGTCTGTGTGTACATGAATTCACCTAGTCCTCTTATTTACTCTCACTATACTTAGTTACATGTCTCTGGAGGAAAATATCAAGGCAATTACAAAGCAGTTATACTATGTAAATTACCTAAGAACATATAAAACAGAATTTGCCAAATAAAGTTTAGGTAAATGCATTGTTAGGAAAATATTTTTAAAATTTTTTTAGTTGTTTGGGCTGGGAATGTGGCTCAAGTGGTAGCACGCTTGCCTGGAATGCGGGGGGCACTGGGTTTGATCCTCAGCACCACATTAAAAAAAAATTAAAAATAAAGATGTTGCGTCCACCAAAAACTAAAAAAAAAAAAAAAAATTAAAAAAATTCTCTCTCTCTCTCTCTTTAAAAAAATTTTAGTTGTTGATAGATATTTATTTATTTTATTTATTCTTATGTGGTACTGAGGATTGAACACAGTGCCTCGCACATGCTAGGCAAGTGCTCTACCACCAAGCCATAACCCCAGCCCCAGGAAAATATTTTTTAATTAATTATATACTTTAGTCGTTTAAGCATGTATGTATGCATTGCAGTGTTCAGAACAGTATCTTGCATAACTAAACGATGTTTATTGAATTGAACTATAGGACAATTATTAAAGTCCAATTATTAAAGACAAGTATGTGGGCTGGGCAAGGTGGTTCATGCCTTTAATCCCAGAGGCTTTGGAGGCTGAGACAGGAAGATAGTGAGATCAAAGCCAGCCTCAGCAACTTAGCCAGGCTCTAAGCAACTCAGTGAGACCCTGTCTCTAAATAAAATACATAAAAGGGCTGTAAATGTGGCTCAGTAGTTAAGAATCCCTGGGTTCAACCACTGCTACCAAAGAAACAAACAAAAGAAAATAAAAGTACGCAACTGAGCTATAAAAGTAAAAATCATGCTAAAACATAAAAAGTTAAATTATTTTGGTGTGAATGTACCCAAATACCTTAACTGAGGATACCTTTAGGAATATATGTACTCTTCTGCACTAATGAGAGAGGCTCCAATCTCTAGAGATGCCTTGTGTCTGCTCTTTTCACCTATCAACACTATTAATTTAGTCTTCTGAAAAAATATGTGTTTATCATATAATTTCTTATATCAAAAACCTTCAATGTCTCCCTGAATTTACAGAATGGAAGTAAAACTCCTTTGCATTCTCATCCTGCCTATATTTTCTTATTACCATTATCCTACAATCTTCCATCACCTGCTAGTTCTTTTTTCACTTACCACAAACAACCTAAACCTCTTGATTTCCAGAGAAAAGCAAAAGCACTTAAGCTTCAGTGTCTCCAATATCTCTTCTACCTACAAAGTTATCTCTAGCCATATCTTTTTGTTTTCTTGATATGGGCTCTTTCTTTGTTGCCTAATGTGATCCTAAAATCATGAGCTCAAGTGATCTTCCCAGCTTAGCCTCACATTTAGCATTTCCTGACTTAATGATTTTTTCTGGGGGGTGCTGGGGATTGAACCCAGGATGTTGCACATACTAGGCAAGTGGTCTACCACTGACCTATATCCCCAGCCCCATATATTTCATTAACTCATTTTCTGCCAAACCTCAGAAAAAGAGATGTACAATTATTATTACCAATATTATTGGTATTATTTTTTAATTTTTTTTTGTTTATTATTGGTACTGGAGATTGAACCATTACAAATGATGCATTGTGAGTAGTAAAAGTATAATGGAGACTTACTGTGTCATGTTCTGTGCTAAGCATGATTACTTGAACTATCTTATGTATTGTGAAGAACCCTTTGAAGTTGGCAATATTATTAGCTTCATATTACAGAGGATGAAACTGAGGGCAAGAAAGGCTAGGTAACTTGTCCAAGGGTGCACAGATACAGAATTCAATCCCAGACAGTCTGAGTTCATAGCCAGTGCTTTTAGCTACTGTTCCCTTCTGGGGTGTGTGTGTGTGTGTGTGTGTGTGTGTGTGTGCGCGCACGCGCGCACATCTGTCTCTCCTGTGCCTACTTAAAGATATCAGTATTTCTTGCCTGCTTAGCTTCCATTGAATATTCAATTTGCCAGGCTCCACTATACTTTTATTATTTATGGGGGAAAATAAGTCACTTGCTGTCTAAAAATGAATGAATCTATAGATCGATGAATGAATGCAACATCTATCATTGACCCTAAGGCCTTTGCAAGCTACTGCCCTTTCTCCATTTCTCACTTTAGTTTTGTCAAAGATTAGTCTCCATTTAATCTCTAAAGCCTTAGCTCTTATTCCCTCTTCAACCAATAGCAATCAAGATTCTGCCTTAAATAATAAATTGAAATTGATCTAGGAAAGAACATTAATTACCTCTTAATCGCACTTGAAAAATACATCAGATCTACTCACTTCTTACCATTTGTACTAGTACTGCCTTAGTCCAAATTAGCATGGCCATTGTCTTTGACTATTACAACATATATTTAATGTTTGTGCATACATACAGTACTAGGATTAAACTTGGGGGTGCTTTACCTCTGAGCTTCATCCTGAGCACCCTTTTTACTGTTTATTTTGAGACACAGTCTCACTAAACTGGGGAGGCTGGCTCAAACTTGCAATCCTCCTGCCTCATACTCCCAGGTAGCTGGGATTACTAGTGTCCATCACTGTGTTCAGCTTTAACAGTATATTTGTAGCTGGTTTCTCTCACTTACACTTTGGCCTTTTTCTGCGAATCAGTCTAAGCATAGTTGTCCTCATGGTGGCATTTCTAGAGTATATTTGTATTGCATTATATTATTTATCTGCTTAAAACATCAGTACTGTTCTATAGCAGTAAAACTATAGTATTGTCTCCTTCCTGTGGCCTTTAAGGCACTGCCTGGTCTGATACTTGCACTCATCTACTACTTTTCTCTCTTTCTGCTTGGCCTCTTGCTTATTATGCCTTAGCCACATTGTATTTCATTTTTATGATGGTTGGATTCGGCTCTCAGCACTTCCCTACCTCAGGACTGTTTTATGTGCTGCCCTATCTTACTCCCTCTCCCTGCCTGCCTCTCCCCTGCTTATTCTTCAAGTATTAGCTTAGATTTTGCATTCCCAGTGACACCATCACTTACTTATCAATCAAAAATTGGTCTCCCTATTAACCTGTCCCAGAGCATCTTTTTAAAGATTATCATGCTGTTTAATTGTTTATTTGTTAGGTTGAACGTCTGCAACCCTTACTAAATTGTAAGATCTATAGGTAGATGAATCATGTCAATTTTATTCATGTATATGCACCTAACAAATCTTGATTGAGTCTTTTTGCATAAATGCAAAATCAAGTAAACTCTTTTCAGTCTAGTCTTAATTTGTATCCATAAGGCTCACATAACATTGAAGAATT